AAAAAAAAAAAAAAAAAAGCAAAAAAACCCCAAAAAACCCTCCTTTAAATAGCTTTCCTGTTGCTGAATTTGGCATCAAATGTTCAGAGGCAGGCACCCCCCGAAGCTGCAAGTTCTAAGCACATGCCTGCTAATGATGAACTAGCATATTCAGTACCCACACATGCACTATCTTACCGTGGCTAATTTTGAATTTGTAAATGCATTTTTTTTATGTGCCCGTTAGCTCCATATACTGCAAGTTTTCAGCTCTGAAGAAATTTTACCTGCATATTGTAGCCCAATACAAGTTGTAAACCCTGCCAGAAAATGAATAGCTTTTGCTACATCGTTCATAAGGAAAGCAGGGTGGGGAAGAAAAGGCACCAACTCACTCATGTTCTTACACTTATTTATTCATTCAGCATCATAATGCCAATTATCTTCTGAAATAAAACAGCTGGCTGGCTTTTTACCATTTTTATATTTTTTTTTCCCAATTTGTTTTCCAAATAGGTGGAAAGGAATGTAAACAGCCATACATACGGAAGTAGTCAACCAAATTGCCTTGATTGGAACCATTGTTCACCCACACTTTCAACATCAGCAACAAGGTAAGAGAACAATAAAAGAATGTGCTTTGATTTAACCGAGGCCACTGGGCCTATATTTACAAACTGGGTGAACATTTCTCATTAGTTCATAATTTGATCAATGGTAATACCAAGCAGCTGCATCTACAGGAGACGCTGACCATGCAGTTGATCAGATTAGGCACTAACGAGATCTTTGTGAATATCTTGTTACTTCCAGTGTGGTATTTATGCTTCTGATAGTTAAGGAACCCCAAAGTACACCTTTGTATGTGTATCTCTACATTGTACTTGCAGAAATCATTCCAGTATAGGTTGTAGAGATACCTGACCAACACAACTAGCTTGAATACCAATAGTGTAGGTGTGAAAGCTTGCAGCTCAGTAGAGACTGATTTACCTTGCTGGGAAGCCCATCTGACCGCAATATAGAGATGCTTGCAGCAGTTTCTTATGAATCTGGAGTTTCCATGAGGCCCAGAAGTCAGAGGTTGAAAAGATTTGGTATTAACTTTGTCTAAAAGTATGTGCCCTTTATGAAATGCAAGTATAACAATTATCATTGTCATGATAGGCTTAAGACTTTGAGAAAATTGTATTTTATCTTTCTATAACAGTTGCTAGCCCCAAGTTTTAGAAGTCCTCAGTATTTCACAAGATTGGCAGAAACTTGTTGGTTTCATTGCATTTGCCTTTCTTTTGTGGACCCTTAGGGTAAACTTGATTCCAGTTTTCAAGATTTTTTCCTTAACATCATGATGTCCAGAAATATACATTTAGGGGAAAAAAACAAACTGAAATTCCCATTTAATCACATAAGTGACCCAGGACATGAAGCTTTTGAAAGATACCAAGTACAATAGGAAGAAATCCCCAAGAGTTGTCAAAGTTGTATATGTGGGTCTATATCTTTGAGAAAATTTTATGTCATTCTGTGAATTCATGGAGGTTTCAATCTGCACATTCCTGGGAAGAGCCATAGACTGGGATGGGCCACCCCCTGACTTAACCCCTGGGACTGATGCTTGGATGCTTATCTTGCTGGGATCCTATGACCCCAGCTGACTTCCTGCCCTTCAGGTGCGGGGCTGGACTCGATGATCTTCCGAGGTCCCTTCCAGCCCTAATGTCTATGAAATCTGATCCCAAAGCTTTCTTGAGGTTTTAGAAAGTTTTGGCTCAGATCATGCTAGGTCCACGCGCACACAGGAGATTTGTTGCCTGTACATCTCCCCCTTGCCACAAAGAAAAGAAGAGAAGCTGTTTGCACTGTGCTGCTCTTCTTTTTCTTTTTTCTGCAACAGAAGAGACCTTGCTGCATAGCCTGAATGGTAGCGCTACAGGAGGTAGATGCAGGGTGCAGGCAGGAAACACCTCACCCAGAGGCCCCGGGAATCTGCCTTGAAAAAACCTGTCTCATCTGTTGTGCTTTCCTCAAACACTGTTCCTAAGTGGAGGGAACAGGAAGGTGGTACTGGCAGGGAGAGCATGCACAATAAGGAAATGTGAATAACAAAATAAATGGAACGCCTTTCACTCTAAAGAACAAATTTGTTCTTTAGACCACACTTTAGTACTGAGGAAGGGTACCACTGGGATGAAATATGACTGGAATGTGGAGCTAGGTAGCAACTTCTCCTTGAAATGGCGTTTTAGCATAAATCGTTCAAGTTTCATTAGTGTGTGATTTTATGGTACTTCGGTGAATTGGGGCCCGTATTGCTGTTGCTTTCTTATGTGCTGAATAGTTTCTCTGATAATGAGGTGGCTGGTAACGACATATTTTGCTTTTTGGTTGGGAGTGATTGAACTTTAGAATAGATGTTCTCAATTAAGCTTGTTCAAACCTCTGCTATTGTCATAATACTATGTGTTGTTAGCCTGTGTGCTAATGATATTAAAGCAAACACTTAATAACTGTACCATAGTAAATATGTTGTGCGAGCTATAAAAAGATCCCCATTAACAAGCTGTGCCCTCCACTGCTGGCTATAATGGCTAGCTCTTGCAATCTAACTTCTGGATCAGAGGGTTAAAAGACCATCTCTTCCTTGAGGAAAGGTGCACACAATACTGTCAAACTTGCAGGCCCAAGAGCCTCTCAGGCAATGGCTGTCTTCATCCAGAGAAAGAGGGAGATGGTCCTGTTAGTGTGAAGTCAGGCAAAAGGGAGGGCAGGGTGGCACCTTAAAGACAAGCTAATTAGTCTCCAAGCAGATAGTCTGGTCAGTTGACCAAGGTACACTTTACAAACCAGAAATCAATAGCATGAAGAAA